AAACCCTAGGAATTCTCCTTGCTTCTTTGAAAGCTTCTACAATCATGCTATAAAGGAATTGTTTCTGGCATTACAACTGTAGTAGAGGTTGGAGCCCCAAACAATCTATAGAGCACTCTTCTGCCTCACTTTCCTCCTAAACCACACAGCTGTAGTCTCAGCTATTACCTCTGATCTTGCTCTTGCATCAACATTGATAAGAAGCAGTGAGTTGCTTAAGGTAATTGTAAGGATGAAAAATGATCAGAGATGCAACTGAAAAATACTCGTTTGCATGTCTTACGGTTTATCCTTTTTAATAGCTGTAACTACCTAGGAAAGACCACAGCTATAGGGAGAGATAATATCTTTTATTAAATCAAGTGATATAGCTTGAAAAACTAGACTCTTTCAGGCATGTATGTTTGATATTTTTATCTCACTGAAAAACACAGTAAGAAACCTTCCCTAATGGCTTCCCGTTTTCCTGCATCCATACATATGAAATGAGAATTTATTTACAACTTTCCTCAGCAATACTTTCTATTGACATGGCAGGTTATAAGTTAGTAACTTAAAACATACAGGACCAAAAGATGTGAGGAGAGTGGGCATACTGGGTTCACTTTTATTCCCACAGGAACTAAGGATGCTAGGAAAACTGATTTTTAAAGTTAAAAGTATAGTTCTCCTTAGAAAAGTTCTCATCACTAGGGCAAACAAAAATACAGAAAAGTTATCAAACTAAATGTATAAACTTGTGGAAATACCTCACTTGATTTCTAATTTGGAAAAGCAAAACTGAATGGGAAGGAGGGGGAAGAATCAACTTTACATCACAGCTCATATACATTATTAACTAATATTTCTAAATATGTACTTTTCACATTACAATGATAGGTAAGCCTACAATTTATATGTATATATAAGAGTACAGTAATTTCTAATACATCCATTATTTTCTCCATGTAACACTCAACAAGGTAGTGTTTATTACTAATTTTACTTCACCTTTATTTTGTGTAATACAATCACATTTTATTCTTCTGCATTTTTCTCCAAATGCATTGGGCACACAATGCATGAAAACCACAAATTTCAGTGACTACGGTGTTAAGCAAGGTAAGACTGGGTAAATCTAACAAGGATTTCTTATTCAGAACGACTAATGTTAGGAAAGGACTACAAAGCTTGGCTGATGTCACTTTTTTAGGCTGCTTTACATAACAAGATTTTGTGTTTAAGATGTATGTCACTGCTCACCCTTACACTTGGTTTCTTCGAAGCTCACCATTTAAGGTTTTATTCAACATTTAGTTAAAAATAAATATTTAACATGGAGGTTGCCCTGTGATGCAAGCACAGCTAAAATGAAGGGCCTCCATGGCTGCAGTGACCACATTTCAAATGCAAGCAGATCAATTAAAAAAAAAAAACCTCAAGCACAGTCTCCAGGTGTGAGCAGAATGGTTTATAATAGCTGGCAAACGACTAGCTCTGTAACCAGGTGTCCGTGAATTATGAACAAGCAACCAATTCACGTTAAAGCCAAATCCTAGCACTATTTCTACAGGGAATTCCCAGTAGTTTTTGTTTGCTCCTGTTTGCTCCACACATTAGTTCTGTTAAGGATACAAACAGCAGTAACTTCAGAACAAACAGTACTGAACTAGGGGTGTTCCATGCACTAAGTCCATTAGCACAGCAACGGTTGTCAATCTCTAGAACTTTCCTACAGCAGCTCAGGCAACACAACCGTGATCTCCACAGCAGACACCCCAGTCCCTCTGCCACGCTTCTGCTGCAGCCAATCAGCCAGCCTGCCCTGACCTGCTTGAAGGCTTGCTTCGAACACTTAACAACATCAATCATAAAAACAAAGACAGGACACTGAATTATACAGTATTAACCTCCAGGGTTTGCATACAAAGACCTCAGATTTATTTATGGCCCAGCACGTTAAGAGCTTCAGTACAGTCTTCTTTACACCAAACTGGCTGCCAAGTTGATGAACCTCTCTGCCCTCAGCAGGAGTACAGTGTCTTTGATTAATGAGTGCATGCTTGTGGAAAAGTGCAAGAACAGAAAATGGGGCAAAATCCACACAATTACATCCGTCTGCATCTGATGGACCAGTGCAATAATTTTTGTCAAACTAATTTTCTGTTGTAGAAAGACTGAGGGCTGAGAAGGGGGCTGTGGAGTTATTTTGATGATTATACTTGGAAACTACACACCACTCTTCTAAAATAAGTATCTGGTAAAATGCAATGCATTGTTTATTAAAGAATCTTTCAGTGTTAGAAAAACATTAATACCAATTGATTAATAAATCAGGTCACAATCCAAAAACATTAAAAGTGAAGGAAAAAATACTCTTTAGAGGATTTCAAGGTTTTAGCTTCTCATCCAGTAGTCTCACAACTGAGATTCAAGCTCAAGAATAGGTTGGCAGATTACTTTGTGCCTTTAAATTACTGTGTTAAATGTTGTAAAGAAAATCTACCTTACACTTCCTGCAATTTACAAGAACACACTGATAATTTGTGATTTAAATGATTCAAAAATGAAAATTCTTCATTATTCTTTCCAGCAATTCCAGAACAGAACTATGTTCTGTGTGAGGCTCCAAAAAGATGACAGCATTATTTCACAGTCATTACCTTATTTCTAAACCTATCTTCTTTCCCAAGGCTTTATGCTGCAAACATTACCCAGACAAGTCTTTATACTCAGCAGTCCCACTGATTTCAGTGGAACCATTACTAATGTAAACGGTTCATCAAGTAAACCAATTTTTCAGACGGTGTCTTTACATTTTTAGAAATTTGAATTTTAAGGTTTTGGGTGATTCCTCCCTCAGGGGCTAGAAAAATCTCTGCGATCTCTTTTTTGCAAACTACCGAGGCTTAACCCATTCAGCTCTTTACAATGCCTGACCTACATCAAGTGAAAAGAGGTCTTATGTCCTTTACACACAGAAAACAAGACATTCAGGAGGCCCTGAAGGGTGTGAGTAGCAATGTAACGGGAGAAAATCCACACTGAAGGCAACAGGCATCATCTGGACACGGACAAGCCCAGCACATCTTTTTCTAAGTCCGTACTTTCAGAGACTATGTTCGAGAGATCATCTGTCAGTAGGTAAGGTTTAAAAACGTATACTTTTCTTTGATGTTTGTCTTTTATCCAAAAAACTGAAAGACATTCACATAAAAAGAGAAGAAACTGGTATGAGGAATTCTGTCAAATGCATAAATTAATTCTGTTAAACTAAGCAGGGAAAACCCCTGCATCCTCTTTTCCTGGTTGTTACATTAAAAAAACAAAACAAGCATAAGACTTCCTTACACTCCAGGAGTGTTTGTTTCACCTGGTGGTTTCGTGAAATGCTAATATCACAAAATAAATCACAATTCCTCCTCCCTCCCTCAAAAAAGAAACAAAAATCTAAGTGATACCATAAAATTACTACAATGGTCTTCTGGCATTTTAATTTCCATTTAAATCTTAAAGGAATTGCAGTATCAGACTTAAAAAAGTATAGTTTTTTTTTCTTTTTAAGGACATTATATAATGCAAATTTAGGACAGTAAAGAGCTAAAACACTAAACAAGAACTTAGCTAACTGTGAAATTGTGTGATAACTGGATTATATGTTCTACATACCTTTTTTCACTTAAAACTGTACAATTAAGAAGCAAAATAACAGCGAAATACTGCATCTAGCCTGGCCCTTCTGCAGAGTGAACTTAATGAACACATGGTCCCAATTTCTTCTAATGATTATGTGCACTCAGCTTACCCACCCCACTGGCATTACTCTGCAGAATAACAAACCACGCATTTCCGTTTTCAAGGAAACAACTACCCAGCACACTAGAGATTAAACTGGGGGAAGGCAGCTCTTTTTTCTGCCTCTATCATCATCTTGTGATGTTGGTAAAAGACTAAACCTTTCCACGAATCAGAGTCCTTATCTCTATAACAGTGAATCTTACACAGTCTTGCCTCCATAAAAGTAATAAGAAACACAAATTTCAAAAATTAAAGCGAACCCACTATTTTCCTCACGCTAATCTTCTAGTGACTCCATATTGATTTGTTTGTTGCCTTTTTTTTTGTTTTTAAATAAGCAGGCAAAAAATGGGGAGCAGGGTGGGGGAGGATCTACTTTAAGCTTACTAATACAGTATCCTTGTTTCTGCTTCTCATCTGTAAAGAGTAACCCAGAGGAACTCCAAATGCCTATCACTCATTTAAAACAAAGATGCACTTTCTTCCTACCATTACACAAAAAGAATACAACAAAAATAGGTTTAAAGTAAAAATGTAGTATAACAGAAAAATGTTTAAAGCACAGACGTTAGTTACAAAAAGGATGTTTCATTTCCTTCTGTGATGCAGCAGGGAAGATTATCCGTACCCAAATTCTCAATACTGCATCATGTTCTTCAACATAAACTTACAGTTTCTTTAAAATACATTGACCAACACATACTACATTTTGTCCACGTTCAGGATGTTGTAAACTATCAATCACAAAAATCACTGCTGTCCTTGATACCTGTTTCAGTGTTTCTTCTGGTGGCAATAAACAATCACAAACTAGTTGGTAATGTGGTATGACATAATTTACTGAATGTACTGCCGTAAAACAAAATTAACTAAGATGCTGAACCACACTTGGGAGAAAACTGGTAGACTTTGGGAATCTGCATTGGGCCAAATTATTTAAGCAATGAAAACACTAAGTATCACTCTTATGTAATCTATTAGAATAGTTCGCTGATTAAAAAAAAAAAGCACCCCATCACTATTTAGTTTTATTTAAAGATACCTGTATTAGGGCCTGGGAGACGATCATAGTGAAGCAATTTGAACACACAGCATTCACACAGTGAAGCCCTTAATGGGGGGGGGGGAGAGTAGCAAACTGCATTGTTCATTGTACCTCCCAACAGTCAAGATCTCTTATTCCCAAATATGCCATCATAAGAAAATTATAAAACTAAAAGCAGTCAGGTACTAATGCCTCCTTTCCTTCATTCAGGGATATCAGACAGGGAGCACAAACTTCTTTTTATCTGCAACTATGATATTCCACATTTTGCATAGGAAGAGAAAAGTAGCAACAAAGACGTTAACAATTGCAGTTCAAGCTGGGAGCCACTGTTCTGTTTCAATTCAATGACACCACTAATGGCTTCTTAGCAGTTCCATGAAATCAACCAGCTGTCAAGTCGATGCATCAGAAGGAACAGTTATGCACTCCCACAAGAAAAAGCAACACATCAGGATGTTTTGCAAAACATCTGCTCCTTTACACTGCAGTTCTGTAATAAACATGCAGACAAAGAAAACACAAGAAAGGTCAACAGGACCTAAAAAGAAAGACTTCCATTACTTTCTTATTGGCATTTTCAGTGTTCTTCATTAAGAAAAAAAAAATTCAGTCTTGTAGCACTTTCTTCTTAGCAGTATAAGGATTAAACACATATACTGCAGTGGTCAAGCAATGCTTGTTCCCTCTATTACATAAAAATATTGCTAACTTATCTTTTGAAAATGCAAAGCATTGTATTACATGTTCAAGAAAACCAAGCATTTCTCATCAAAAGGTACAAAGCACATATTTAGTTACCTTTCCTCTAACACTACTCAAAACATTTTACAGTGGTATTGACAACCTACAATAATCTACGTGGACAAATCCCAAAAACAACTACTTTTTGTGGGAACACTGACCTGTAAGGAACCCAGCACAGTGGAATTTAGTTTAAAAATATAATCTGAATGAGAAATACCAGTGTGTCGTAGTTTAGGAATGGTACTCTCCAATTTAGTGCTCTGACTGAAACTGCGCCGCTCACTTGCTCCTTCCCCGCCTCCCCCTCCCCTGCAAGATGGAGAGGAGAATTGGTAAAGATCAGGTCGAAATAAGAGCAATTTACTGAAAACAGCAATGAGATAAGAAAATGAACAGTAACAGCAACAATACTAATGACAGAGGGTACAAGAAAGGAGTGATTCACGTGGAAACAACAATTCGCAATCACTCCACCAAGCTACTCTGACCTGGAAGGAACCCCTTCTCCCAGGAACAGACTCCTTTTCCACCCCCCCTTCCACTCTCCCCCCCAAAAAATGACATGAAGTGGTATAGAATAACCTCTGGGGCCTGGCCATGCCCCCTCCTGGCTATTGTAAAAATTAACCCTGTCCTGGCTGGAACCAGGACACAGTACCACAATTCCAGTTTATTTTCAATATGTGATAGTCACAAAACCTTATTTTGTGCTATCTAGAACAGATCTGGGGTCAGGAATGAAAAGGTAACATTACCTGATTCTCTGAAGAAATATTTTTTATTCTCCAGAGAGTTCTGTTTACGATGAACTCCATCACAACATGATATGAATACTCCATTACTTACAAGGAATTGGTACTATCTATGATGAAACAAATATCCCCTGATTGAAGCAAACATAAAATTTCTTGAACACCGAAAATCCCTTAACAATTCCTACTGCTTCCTCTACATACACTTTACAAAAACTACCTTGGCTACAATTTTCTTAATATTATGTAGTTTATTGATTTTGCAGCAATTTGACAAAAAACGTGTGTAGTTTTCTATGAGATGTCAAAACTATAGCATCGTTTTCTGAAACTACTTATGCTGTTGCTCATCATTTACAATCTGTCCAATCTTCTAGACCTTTGTTCCATTTGTAATTTAGAATCACCCGTTGTACATGCTTTCAACTATTTAAACATTTTCATTTACCCGGTATTCACATAGCTAGTAAATACTGAATCCAACCACGCTTTCTAATGCATTTAAGAAAGAAAAATAAAGTAAGTAATATCTGACATTTGTTCCAACATAACCTTAAGTATGCTTTAAGTACATCATTCAATGCTGACTTGGATATAAAAGCCTTGACGTACAAACAGCTGTTGCTATTACTTTCTATGTTAATTGTAGTCAATGTTTTTCCCAACCCTGAAGACAAAGAAAATGCAAATTAAATACAGTTTCATGTTCTCGATTGTGTGACTTTAAATATGCAGCAAGTCAGATAAGCATAGAAAGAACAGAAAAACAGAACTTCACCTACAACAGCTATTCCTTATCAAGCATCCCATATTTCACTAAGTCATATCATGTGACCAGAAAAACTTTTCTGAGACAAAAAAAATGTGCAATTGAGAAGTAAATTAACACAACAGTACTTTTTATTGTTTTCCTTTTCACAACAGCTGATGCAAAATGTATAGAGGATACAATTTGTTGTTGGCTTTTGGGTGCAGGGTTGTTGTAGGGCTGGGTTTTTTAATGAGTTTAGCACAGTAACTACATTTAGCCACCCACGTTACACGGCACCTGGAACATAACCCAAACTACATGCAATATTTATAGGTACTTTCCAGGCGGAACCTTTTAATAACATAAGTTAATAAGTTTGTTACCTCCACACATGCCCCCCCAAATCTGTCATTTAAAAACGGACTTATGTATTTCCATGTTCCTCATACCAAGGAGATACTGTTTATTTCTCAGGGAAGATCCTGTACCAAGTGTTTCACTTAAACTTCACATTAGATTACTACCTTCCGTAAACAAAAGCAATGAAAATCTCCAGATAGTTCGTTATTTAACATAAGAACTTCAGAACGTTTACTTAAATAGCCGAACAAGCAATACATATTAAACACTGAGGCCGGGACAGGAAAAGAAAAGAAATAGGCAAGGGGGGGGGAGAATAACCCAAAAACACGATTATTTCCCTGTTACGAAACCAGACACAAGATAAAGACGCATATTCACAATGTCCCCTGTAAGTGCAGTCTCAACTCGGAACCTTTCTCTTTAAAGTGAGGTTTACAACGCGTTAGATCAGGAATGCCGGGGGAAAGCACAGAGTCTTGGAAAAAAATCCCCTTAAACTTTACATGACGTCACTGTCTGTCCCTGTAACATTTCCTAAACTTTGAGACTTATTCAAAGGGCTTTCAAGATTTCTACTCGTTCCTTCCTAAAAGAGACGGACAGACTTTGGAATAAAAATTTGCCCAAGATGGCGAAAGGCTCGTTGTTTAGAGGGCAGAAAAATGGAGGATATTGTAATATACACAAAGGGATAAATTTCAACAACTCGGCCCAGCGCCGCAGCTGCTTGCTTCTCTTCACAAGGACGGGACACGCACAAAGCCGCGGGCAGAGGGGCCCGCGCCGCGCCCCGCACGGCGCGGGAGAAAGGGAGGAAGGGAGGGAGGGAAGGAGAGAGAGGGGGAAGGCGGGAGGGAGCGCGGACCGGCCGTGCGGGAGCGGGGGCTGCGGGGGCCGGGGCCGCCCGCGGGGGGCAGCGCGCGCTCCGGCCGCTGCCCC